ACCACCTCCAGCATATGGGGCCAGCGCCCTATTCCTTTGAGCTACAGGTACTGCCTGAGGTCAGGAGTTTTAAGACCAACCTGGGCAAGATAGTGAGATCCCGTCTCCATAAGAAATAAAAAAAAAAAAAATAGGTGGTGCCTGTGGCTCAGAGGAGTAGGGTGCTGGCCCCATATACCAGAGGTGGCGGGTTCAAACCCAGCCCTGGCCAAAAACTGCAAATAATAATAATAATAATAATAATAATTAATACTATTCAGCTGTAACAAGAAGATGGAGACTTTACATCACTTGAATTTACCAGGATGGAGCTGAAGAACATTCTCCTCAGTAAAGTATCTCAAGAATGGAAAAGCAAACATCCCATGTACTAAATATTAATTTGAAATTGGTAAATAAACAACTATAGGCCCACATGAGAGAAAAATGCCCTTAAATTTAGAAGCGGGAAGAGGGGAACGGGAAGGGGGTTCAGTGTGCTCCCAGCTAATGGTACAATGCAGGAATGTGTGGCACACCTCCTGGGTAAAGGGCTCAACTACAACTTGGACTTCATATAACAAATGCAAAAAATGGGACCTAATTGTATGTACCATTATTAATCCTAAATTTCTTTTAAAATAGAGAATTGGCAAATTGAGGCCAGGACTCATCTTTTTGTTTTTTTTAATTGGAAGATAACATCATGTTTTTATTGAGTACAACATAATGTTTTGAAGTACATACACATTGTGGGGTTGCCTTGAGTGTTACTAATGTACAGGCTAGAGAATCTGACCCAAACTAATATTTGTCATTGTCACGATTAGTCCTAATGGCTATAGTCCATTTGGTCTGTAGCTATTGAGATGGGTTTAGAAGTAGCTGTTCTATACACTTGTAGAAATGGCCTCAATTTTCTCTTCTGTTTTGATTAGTCTTAGCATCTAAATTTCTTTTTGCCTTTTTCCATCACAGAGGCTGCCTCTCTTTGTCACTCTCCCTCACATCTGAAATCCAGCCCAAATGTAGCAGAACAAAATGCTTCTAATACTCAAAACCTTTTCTAAGAATGCTGATTACAAATTGGGTAACTTTAGTTTAATCCAAGGTACAAGCTTTCTGCTGCTTTTAAGGCAGAAAATAAATGTCTAAAAATAAAACTTAGGCATAAAAATAAGACCAAATACTCATTAACTGCCTCATTTAGCTGAAAACTGAAATTATTTCAACCATGCTAAATCAAGCCTTTGTGTAGAAGAGGTTGTTTTTTTTTTTATTCATAGTACTTTATCTTAGATGATAAATGAGTTACTGTAATTTGTCATTCAAAAAGCATGAATTAAATAGTTCTCAAGTACCCAATTTTCAGCTCATGCTGACCCTTGAATTGAAGCACTTATGTTCCCTGGTCTTTTGGAATGCTTTTGCCATGGGAGAGGTTGGACCAGGAATCGGAGAATGCAAGGTTTGGGATGTTAAGGTTAAGGTTAAGAATTTTACTGAGTGTTATAGGAAGCCACTGGAGGGATTTAATTAGAGGAATGTTACAGAATAATTTATATCTTAAAAATATGACTCAACTGCTGTGTTGACAGTGGATTGTAAGGTGACAAAAGTGGAAAAATGGTAATCAGCCAGATGTCTCTTTTTAGCTATCCCGGAAAGAGATAATAGTGGCTTTGGAGCAGAATGGTAATAGTTTGAAGTGGTAGAATAATAGCATTTAATCCATTAACAACAACAAGACTGGTTAATTGATTAGACATGGAACATGAGGGAATGGAAGAATCAAGACTGATTTCTAAGCTTTTGGCCTGAACAACTGAAATAATTTGGTATCAATTATTGAGATGAAGACTGGAGGAGGAACAGGATAATCTTCTTGCCTTTTGTTTAGGGGTAGGGGATGGATCCATGGAAAAGGGAACCAGGGAATGAAATGAAAGGCCCATGTTAACTTTGGGCATCTAAGTGAATAGGTCAAATGAGTGGGTGGTTCAGTAAGTTTGAAAACCGTTAGCACACAGATTGTATTCAGAACCATGAAAGGACCTCACCTAGGGAGAGAATGTAGACAAAGTGGAAGATTCAGTCCACACTTCACATAAATAGGGCATGCAGAGGAGAACTAGTAAAAGACCAAGAAGGAGCAACAATAAGGCAGGAAAAACACAGAGGCTGTGGTATTCCAGACTCCATGGAAAGAATCTACAAGAAGAAACTAAGTCAATTTATTGAATACTACTGGGAGGGTAAAGAAGACAGGGACAAATGTTACCACTGTTTTTGGTAATATGAACACTCTTTGTGACACTGACAAGGGCACCTTATGACCTGACATGTAGACAAGAGCCCAGATTGGAATGAGGGGGGATTGGGAAGGGAGAAATGGGGACAGCTATTGAGACAACTATTTTAAGAAGTTAGTGGAGCTGAAAAATAGCTAGATAGCTAATGAAGAGTCAGAAGAATTTTTGGGTTTCTCATGTTCTTAAGATTGATATTGAAGCATTTATGTTTACGGAACTGATCTAGCAGAGAGATCCTGATAATGCAGTAGAAAGGGGTTTGATGGCAGGAACAAATTTCTTGAATGCAAAAATGTAACAGAGCATGGTGAAGGTGTTGGCCTTCATAAGGGCAGAACGGGAGGCAGAAAAAGTGGACCCAGCTGTTAACAGTGGGCTCAATTGGTAACAGGAGGATGAGGGAGTATCCAAAATTAATCACAATGAATTAAAGAAGTAAGAGTATCAGATGAAAAGATGGGGAAAAAAGGAACATTGGACGTTTCAAAGAGAAGGTGGCAAATATTGGAGTCATTATGGGGTGTGAGAAGGTGAACATGTGGTAGATAGTGGACATGGAATATCCTGAAGTTAAAATAATCAAGGTGGATTTCAGTTGAGTTTTGCCTGAAAAGAGGCTGTGATTAAATTTAAAGTTTTAATAGCTCATAAAGGAAAAAAGTATCATTACTTGTTTATGTATTTTCATAGTAGACAAAGTTTAACAGTTACTTTTAATCCTACTATTCAGAGATAATCATTGTGGTGTGTATATACATATATATACACATATATATATCTTCATGTTATACATATTTATTTAGAAAGAAATAGAAAGGTCTTAATTTTGACACTTATACTATTTTACAACAGTTTCAACTTTACTAAATAATTTAGCCCTTGCCCCAAGAGAAATGGAAGCTACCAGAGTGATATCTTTGTCATATTTTATATGTTTTATTTATTGTATTTTAATATTTTTGTTGCTATCCTAACTTTTATGTAGATAAAATAGAAAATGTATAGTCATGCTAAAAAGGAAGGTTGTATATTCAATTATTTTCTTCCAGTCTTTAAAATGTAAAAATGAAACTATCAATTATTAATCTATCAGTTTTTATTTTGGTAGGATATAGTGAAGGAATCTAATTTGACTTTTTAGCATAGTTTTAGTCATTCTTACAGCTCATATGCTACAACAAATAAGGAACACATTTTTGTAATAGAGCTCTCACATGATATCATTAAAATTTTCTTTTAGAGGTTTCAAAACCGATTATATACTATTCTTTAAGAAAGCTATTTCTTAAAGAGTGAAAATTATCTGTAATCCTATCATCAGAGAAAATCAGTGATATTTTACTTGAAACTATATCATGGGTACACATTTTGCTATCTGTATTTTCTCTTCTTGAGTTTTTAAAACATTCTTTGTCAAGCATGAATTGAGGGGCTTGCCATATTATTGGACATTTAAGAATATATTTTTAGGTTTTGTTTTTTATGCATGATTTTAAATAACACCATAGTTACCACAGTTAGCACTTAATAGTGAATTGAAATTGGTTTAGTAATTTTTTTACTATAAAAGCAATGCACGTCCATTGGAGGAAGCTTTAAAAATAACATAAGCCATTATCCAGAGAAGGACTGCTGAATGTATGCCAGACCTTCATTCATGCAACAGCCACGTGTTAGTTCCTATCATGTAGCAGGTACACTTCCCACGTACCTGTACATGTAAAACCAGCTCTTCAGAGTTAACATCCTAGTGTGTGTTTAGTCATGTGTCCTCTCAGTAGCATATATGCAGAAGTGTGTGTTGCTTTTTAAAAAGGGACCATGCTATTTAGAAGTTATACTGTAATCTGATTTTTCTCCCGTAACCTTTTAAGAACTTCCTTCCCTGCCATTGAACCACCTTTTACAATGATATGTTTAATGGCTATAAAGGAATTATCTGTATAGATGTAGCATAGTTTGATTTCCTAGAGTTAGACACTGTAATTCTTTTCTAATTTCCTTTTGCATTTAAAGTTCATAACATGTATATTTTGCTTCTTTGATAGCATAACTAATATGACCTCCACAAGACATGAAGGCACGGGGCGTGCTGGCTGTCTTCCTTATACTCATACTATCGCTGAGTGGATTTCAAGGTAACTTTCTCTATACCTGTTAGTTTTTTGGATCATTAAGTAGGAACCCGAGTATACATGCAAGGTGCCTATTTCCTCCATAGCACTATGAATTTTCCTAAGTGACCAGTTAGTGAGAAACAGGGATCAATCTGGACGTCTGCCAGAAGGTTAAAAATCATATTTTCTTCTGTTTGTTCTGATAAAGGCTATTTCTAATCTGTTATCTGCTACCAGAAATAAAATCACTAGACAGGCAAGTTTGATTGATTTTAAGTGTCAGCTTGGCACTTAACACCTGACAGAAGGCGTTATCAGCTTTGCTAGGTACTGGGACAGACATTCTTAATTATCCAGTGAAATACACGAGAGGTTTAGTAGAGGAATTAGGTTGACAGTCACTTCTTTCTTTTCCTGCCCTTCCATATCTTTCTCTTGGCACACGACCACACCCCTCCCCCCCCCAGCTCTTTGTAGGGAAATTAAATATAAGGAAGAGAAGGAAGAACATGGCAGGTGGAAAGAGCCCCAGAGGGGGAGGCAGAGGGAACAGACTGTGGCAGAGCCACGTGAGCACTCAGTTCTCCCATCTTGGAAGGCCTTGGCTGAAATCCAAAGGCGTTTACTCCTTGGTCCATAAGTTAGGTCCCTTGCAGTCCTAATATCTTAGCATCCATAGAGCACAAGATCTACGTAAAATATTCAGTATATTGGTCAAGAAAACTCAATACTACCTTTAATGGTACCTAGTATGAAGTGGCTAGATATATTTTCTTTGCAGAAACACTTAAGCTGAATTCATTTGCTTTTTGAAGTCAACTTGAAGTTGACAGAAAAAAAATCAAGAAGATTGGACATCCACATTTATATCCAGAATAATATTCCTTAACTGTGTTTTGACTGGTATATAGGATATCATAAAGAGAGTGATCCTAAAGTTAGAATGAGTCACTGCTTCCCCTTTTGAACTTCTGCCCTTGTCTCCCCTGCTTGAGAGTAATTTCCAAATATTTTAGCAGATTTCTGAGCCCAGAACTGTTTTCTATATACCCCAAATATTTTCTAATCCTACCAAGCCAAATATGGTTCAGTTTCCTGGGGTCTGATGGCTGTAGTTAGCTAAATAAACTAATTTATTATTGTTATAGTAGGTGTTAAAAATGAAAGTTCTGAGAATGAAAAATTAATGAGAGTCTTTTATAAACATAATTTCCAGCACTGTGGCAGGTCAGGATTGGAAGAGAGACCAGACAATTGATCAAGTGGTTAAGAAACCAGCCCTATGCTTTGGGCTGTGGCCATTTCTCACAGTTAGATTGAATAAAACAGCTACTCAATTAAAATTAAAGAAACGCAAATCCTGAGCTTCATGGCTTGTTTCTAATAATCAGAATATCAATAGTTCTTGATGATGTAGGTTATTAACAGTCAGGCTGCTGACCTAGGAAGGTTCCTCTTGGTAGTGTTGATGTGACGCTTAAGGAGCACCCAGCACTAGTTCTCTTTATAACTTCTCTGCCCTTCATTGTAGATTCATTCTTTCTGGCTTTCTCGGATTATATGAGTAGTGAAAATGAGCAAGTTGTCATTGGAAGATTTGATGAAGACATAATTCTCCCTTGCACATTTAAAAGTGGGTCTGAAGTTGTAATTCACTGGCAGAAACAAAAGATCAATGTTCACACTTACTACAGAGGCAGTGACCATTTGGAAAAACAAGATTCTAAATACACAAACAGGACAGCCCTCTTCCATAGTGAGATTCACGATGGGAACGCCTCCCTATCTTTCAGAAGATTAAGCCTTCTGGATGAAGGAAATTATGACTGCTATGTATCAACTGCAAATGGAAGTACTAGAAATAAAGTGGTGCTAAAGGTGGGAGGTAAGTGTGTGTGTTAGTCTTCACAAAGTCCAGCAATGACATCATTCCATGTTTTCCTCAAATATCTTTTTCCTAACTTCGTGCACTATGAGCTTCCTTCCAAGTTGGTACATGAAAATCTACTTCATTGCTTTCGTGCCTAAGATCTCCTAACATAGACATGTTGTAATTCCTATAATCATTCTCCTTTTGGTAGATGTTCAGGCATCTCCAGTGTTGTACATCACACACAATAAACATCTTGGTAGTGATATTCAATACTGGGAAATGATTTGAAAAGAAAGTACCAAATGTAAGATTTTAATGTATTACTGACACTATGAGGATAAGAATATCCATTTTCTCTTTAGCCTTACCTGCACCAAGTATCCTAATATTAAAAATTTCTGCCAAGGACTTAAATATTGATCTTTTTGGTTGATTAGAGTTATCTGTAGATTCTTGTTATCAAGCCTTTGTCAGATTTGTAACATGCAAATCTCTTTTCCCATTCTGTAGGTTGTCTATTTGCTTTAATTGTTGTATGCTTAGCTATGTAGAAGCTTTGCAATTTAAGTCCTATTTGATTGTTTTCCTTGTTGTGATTGCCACTGAAGTCGTCTTCATAAGTTTAAACAAAAAATAGCCAACAATCTCATCTATCACTGGGCAAGAGACACAAATAGAACCTTCTCTGAAGAAGGCAGATGAATGGCTAGAAAACTTATGAAGAAGTACTCATTCTCCCTAATCTTTAGGAAAATGCAAATCAAAACCACTCTGAGATATCACCAAACCCCAATGAGAATAACCGACATCACAAAGTCCCAAAGTTGCAAATGCTAGAACAGATGTGGCGAGAGGAAAATACTTTTGCACTGTTTGTGGGACCACAAACTATTACAGCCACTTTAGAAAAAAGTATGGAGAATCCTCAAAGAACTCAAATTAGGCCTCCCATTTTATCCTATGCAACCCCATTATTAGGCATATACCCAGAAGAAGAAAAATCATTTTATCATAAAGACTTTTGCAGTAGATTGTTTCTACATTTTGACAAGTGTACTTGAGCTGTGATAAACAGCCTAAATGCCCACCAACTCAGGAATTGATTAACAAGCTGTGTTACGTGAGTACCATGGAATAGTATTCAGCCATAAAAAGATGGAGACTTTATATCTTTTGTATTAACCTGTATGGAGTTGAAAGCATCACAAGAATGGAGAAGCAAATATACAATGTAGTCAACACTAATGTTAATCCAGTAGACACCTAATACATGCCCACATAAAAGAAAAACTCAATTCAAGTTGGGGGAAGAGGGGAAGAGAGGGGATCTGTGTGCTCCCAGTTAATGGACACATGTAAGGATATATGGTGCACCTTTGGGTGTGGGACACAAATATAAGAAGGACTCTACCTAACAAAGCAAATATTATAACTTAGTTGTTTATACCTTCCATTAACCTGAAATTCAAAAAAAGTTGGTATTTTATTTTCTGTATTTCTAATTTTTCTACTTTTCTATAAGTGAGGATAATTTTTATATTATATACTTTCCTCTATTGCATATCTATATAACTACAGATATATTACCATATGTAGTTAATATGATTAATATATTAGCTGTATTAATATATTATCTTGCTAATTCTCACAGTTACATTGAGCCAAACAGGTGTTCAATTAAAATCAAAGAAACTCAAACACACCATCATAGATTCTAATTATCAGGTTACCAAGGGTTCGTGATGGTGTGGTCTATTAATGATCAGGCTGCTGGTCATATATATATATATATATATGCATATAAGTTCATGTAGTGTATATATGGTACAATAATTTATAATTATACTATGCATATATAGGCAGTATTTTCTAGTGTTTTTTTTTTTTTCCTAGCAACTTGTTCCTTTTCCTCTGTCCCATTCAGCTGCTTCAGAAATCTAAGAATTATGTGTAAACAAAGTCCAATAGGCACTCTGAGTCAGTGTCTGGGGCATTTAGAGTGCTGCATAAACTCTCCCTTATAGACGGTGACACCCTCATTTTGGTTGCTTGATAGGCCATTAGATTTTTTTCAGCTGTGTTTCTTGAGAATTAAGACTGGTAGTCGACATGTTCCCATGAAGCTCTTTTTTATTTCTTCCAGATAACCACACTCCATCTAAAGGTTCTACAGGTCTCTTTTTTCCTTTTGGTAACTGCTGAGTTATGCTCATAAAACTTAGCTTTTCATTTCGTGGATGTTAAAAAGTATTCTGCACAGATGGCCCATAAAGAAGCTAATGATGACAGGTCTTCATGTCCCCTTCTTTCTCCCATATAGCTTTCCTCACGCCTGTGATGAAGTACGAAAAGAGGAACACGAGCAGTTTCTTAATATGCAGTGTGTTCAGTGTTTATCCTCGTCCAGTTATCACATGGAAAACGGACAGCTCTACACCTGTCTCTGAAAAGAATACGGGAGAAATTGGGCCTTTGGGCTCTTTTTATATTAACAGCACACAGAATATTACAGGATCAAATTCATCTTATGAATGTACTATTAAAAATTCATTGTTGAAGCAAACCTGGATGGGGCGATGGACAAAGGAAGGTAGGTGCCATAGGACTTTGTGTGGACGAGTGCTGTGTCAGGCTGGAGGTAATGGGGATCGATTCACAAGGATAGACAAGAAAAATAATCCATCTGAAGTCCTAGGATTAATCCTTATGGGCTTTGTTACATTAAGCAATCTTTTTTTACTTCTGAGAATTAGTTCTTCCTTAATAAAATGGAAATAATTCTTAACCGTGCTGAATATTTGAGTTGAACAACAGCTTTTGTGAAATGGAAAGAAGCAAATCTATGACTACTACTGTATTTCTCAATGGCTCATTCTCCAAACAGGATTTCTACCTGCATTGCACTTTAAAAGATCAGAGAAGGAACGAAGGAATACTTACTTGTCTCTCAGCAGGCCACAACCTCTAATTCTTCCCAATCGTTTAGCTACACACACAAAAAATTGACTAATTAGTAGTATTCTTTCTGACTCATCTCTATATCCACTACCTCTGTCCCAGCATGATCAGTTTTTAACACTTCCTCTTATTTATTTGAACAAACTCAAACTCTGATCAGCTTCTTTATCTATAAACTAGTATTTCAGGAAATATTAGGGGGCAGAAAAATTAGATACCTCCCCATTCAACTCCTAGGATTTTTTTTTTCATATTAGTAACAAAACAAAGATTTTCTTTCACTCTCCCTTATATGGGGGGTGGGGGAATACTAGTTATTTTTTCTAGCCTTCACTTCCCTAGGGTTTCATATTCTCGAAAGAGCAAAAACAAAAATACTGAGTGATTCATCACCATGACACAAGTCCAGTGTTAAAGATATGAGCACCCAAGGTTCATTTTCCATCAGGCAGCAATAGAAGCACAGGGAAAAGGTTGAAAAGGTTAATAGTAGATTATACATATTTTCTTTGGAAAATAATTTCTCATGTTTACTTAGGATTGAGTGTCCTGAAACACCAACAGTTAACTAGTGTTGGTACTGTTTTGTCTTTGGGGGAATCTTTTATGTGCCAAGCTTTGTAGCTTTGAGACTGTGAACTCAAGAATATGGATTCTCACTCATTTCTGGATTCACAGCATTTAGCTCAAACACATAGAAATAAAACTAAATTGGTAACATAGCATAGAAAGGGAGTGAGTAATTCTTTTCCCAACTGTGGTTGGGTATGAATGGGGTTGTTACAAAACATGTGTTTAAGGAAGTTGCATAAGGGAGAATTTTAGAAGAGTAGTAGGATATTCCAGGAGAACAGAGGCATTCCGGGCAAAAAACATAGAGATATAAATTTGCCTGGATTTGTGCAAGCATAAAGTGTTTGAGGGTAAAACTACAGGATTAAGAGATGAACAGTCCTAGAGATAGGATGGTAGCAAAGAGGGATTCGAAGTGTCAGAGAGACCTTGGATTTGCACTTCAGAAGAACTGCTTTGGCATCACTTACCTACAAGCATGTGAGTCTGAAGCCAGGTAAAACCATCCATAGTAGTCTATGGAGCCTACAGAAAGTTAAGCATGAGATAAAGCTGGATGTGGAGAGGCAAGCTGAGACTACCAGCAGAAAATCCATCTTCTGAAAGAGCTCAGTCTGGGGGGATTACATGCATGCACTTGGAAATATTCTTAAGTGCAGGAAAAGAGATATTGTTTAGATAAAGATATTAAGAATTGGATGAATTAAAGAGGTAATGAATCTCTAAGGAGTAGGTAGAGTAACACGACAGGAGGAGTCCTGGGCAATACCAGAGTTTGAACACAGAAGAAGACCATTAAGTTCAAAGGCTCATAACTGGTAGCAGTGATCCTGAATGCTTACTATCAAATTGTAAAGTTAAACCCAGGGACATCACTTCCCTAGCTGGTCCTGGCTTCCTTGAAGGCCTAAGCTAATGTTAGTGGAGATTTGAAAATGGTAGTAGCAAAACTTTTCTTTCAAGAAATTCTACAACATAAATTGAGCAATATCTAATTGCTTGAAAATGGTAGGAGTAAACTTGAAAATGGAGACTTGAAGTCTTGAAACTTGAGTTTTGATAGTAGTAGTAAAACTTTTCAAGAAACTCTACAACATAAATCAAGCAATATCTAATTGCTTTTCAAAAAGGTATCTTTTCCAAAAGATGTCAATATTATTAGCACTTTTGTTCCCTAACCTCTAAATGTAACTTAAATTCATTTGAAAATTTTATCCTCAGTGAAGGTTTGCTTTTCTATTCTGTTACTAGGTGGTCTTCATAATAAGCAAGGTGAACATGTCTCACTTTCGTGCCAATTTGGAAGCAATTTTTCTCTGCTAAACCAAGACTTCAGAGTTACTTGGTCCAGAGTGGAAAATGGAATGTCCTCTGTCCTGGCTTCATATCTGAGCTCCTCACAAAAAATGATTATCAGTGAACCCCGATTGTCACTGAACAAAGAGCTAATAAGCCAGAGGGACTTTTCTGTGAATTTGATCAATCTTCGTCTCTTAGACAGTGGAGAATATTTATGTAATATTTCTTCAAGCAAATATACTTTACTTACCATCCACACACTGCACGTAGGTAAGTTGCAAGTGAGGGTGAAGGGTTTTAGCTATAGCATCAGAGGTAGGTAACTAATATACGGAGAGGTTGGCTTTTCAAGACTACATTAGTATTTCTCAATGTTATTTACAGGGATATTTCAAGTTTCAAGTAGACAACCTCCATTCAACTGTACAAAAGTCCTCTATTGGGGAAAAAAAAAAAGTCCTACAGATTTCATCTTCAGGATTTCAGGGCTTCAGAATTAAAGAGGAGACCTGTATATTTTGATGACGTCCTAGAGTAAGCGTCTTTGATTTCTGCTCACTGTTATGCCTAGTATGTGCCTTAGGGCCTGGGTGTTAGGATGTTGAGGCTATAGACACTTTAGGAAGTTAAAATTGGGGCTCTGCTAAATAATAGGTAGATACGATAATGTCTATGAACTTGGGGGAAATAGTCACCAGGCAATAATTAAATCACTAAGTGTATGCATAATACAGCTCATTATTGCCTGTGTTGATAGTTAAAAGCCTAAATTCATTACCTAAAATATTTCTAGTCAACCAACCATAGTCATGAAATGTACACTGGCTTCCTACATGAGTTGGATGCTCTCTTAAACTACCAATATCACCTCATGGGCCACCAGGACAACTCTTTAATAAGGTATTGAAGTCAGTGGAATGTATGTTTTAAAAATATTAATATTTCTTTTTTTTTTTTTGCAGTTTTTGGCCAGCGCTGGGTTTAAACCCTCCACTGCTGGTATATGGGGCCAGCACCCTACTCTTTTGAGCCACAGGCACCAACCCCCCCAAATATTAATATTTCTATCATTGTAATTGTGAAAATTAGTAATAAAAGATTTGAAAATTTTGATGATTCTTATAGTGAGACGGAGATAAGAGCACAGAGTCATCCTTAGGTTATGTGGTCTTCAGTCAGCTAGAAGCTTCCAGACACTGAGCCACAGTGCTTCCTTTGTAGACCTGCCACTTAGAGAATATAGAATGAAAAACTTGGGATGCATTTGAAGCTCTTATTTTTCTCCCAAATGTAAGAGTGTCAGTTTTATGTAAAATACAGTTAAGCCTACAGTCTATTTTTGAAAATGTTGCCTCATGTTGCATTCATTTTGGAATGTAAAAAAATAATCAGGAAGAAATGTCCCGAGGACCACATATGGCCCATCTTCCTACCCAGATATCTAATTTTTAGTCCATGCAAAGCAAAACATCAGGACCATTTCATCTCTAACAAAGGAAAGAGGCTTGTCAGAGCATCTTATTCTCAAAAGGCCGGGTGGGCAAGGACCCCTAGCAAGAAACACCCTAGAAAGATGGAGAACAAGGCAAACAGTCCTAGTACCCTAAACCCCACCCTCCCAGGGAACTTGGTTTTCGACTCTGAATTAAATTTTCCATTTGTAGCCTTGCCCAGGAGACACTCTGTTAGAAAAGGAGGCCCGAATGGGGAGATTTCAGATTCTGAGAATGCAGATCTGCCCAATTAAGGTTGCACTGAACTGAACGGAATGAAATCATTCTCGCTAAATTTTGCTGATAAATCAATATGTGACCTTGGGCAAATCCCATATGAGGGAATCTTAGGGCCATGTGCAAAGCAGCTATACATGGCAGCATTTTCTTCAGGTGGCAAGAATTGCCTGTCAAATACTTTAGAAAGTCCATTAGCATTTCTATGTAATCTCTCCTTCACATAGTGGAGTAGTGCCACCGTTATCCTCAGGGCCCACGTTCCCAGACACATGTTCCAGCAGCCGCCTGAAACCACAGACGGTGCCAGAGAGAATCAGTTCTTCCCTGTAGCACGCCCCAGCGCCACCTCTGCCCTTTTATACATGTAGGTTCTGCGGAGGATTGTCTCCCCCGAGACTGCGCTCTCATCTCCATTGAAAACTGGAGTGACACCCAGCTTTGGGTGACATCCTTTCTTCTTAACTTCAGCTCCACCAGGAAGGTGGCAACGGCTTTGTTGCCAGCAGATGCAGCCTCTTCAGTGATTTCCCTGTTTTCGGTCCCAGCCTCCTACCGAATCTGTGTAACCCTCTCTCACTTGCAGTGAGTGGTTTGGTGTCACTCACTTCAGGGGATCCCTGGCTGAAATCTTGTCTGCTTGCTGGTGCGACACACTGCTACCAGTCGGAACATGTTTCCGTTCCTGTCGCCCACCCCCAAATGTAATGCCTTTTCTGTCTTCATTAAGCATTTATAATGCACCACGTCTATAACTTTTGCAATTTCGGGTACGACAGAAAATTTTGTACTACCACAAATTTTTTGCCTTCACAATTTTATGGGTAGATGATTCCTTTTTACCGTAGTTCTTCCCAGACTCAGTATGTGGTTTTTTGTTTTTTTTTTTTTTTTCAGTTACATTGAGAGCTTTCACCTTTTCACTTAAGGGAAACACTTTATGGCTTCCCTTTGGCATATCTAAATTGGCAGCTTCATTACTCTTGTGCTTTGGGGCTCCTCTTACACAAAATAAGGATGGCTTGAACAAAAACACGGCAATTTCACAGCAGATGCTGATGAGCAAGATGGCTCCTAATGACTAATGGCAGCAGCATATGTAACACAGATATCTGGACGAGCAGATTCACATCTCAGGTGGGACAGAGCAGGATGGAATGGGACTTCAGCATGTGACTCAGAAAGCATGCAATTTAGACATATGTATTGTTTATTTCTGGAATTTTTCATTTAGTATGTTCAGATCACAATCAACCCTGGGTAACTGAACCCTTGGAAACTGAAACCACAGACAAGGGGGACTGCTGTATAGACTTTTACGAGGACACAAACAGGTAGAAAAAGTAATGGTTTATTGCAGGACATTACTTCATGGCCAAGCACCGTGGCTCATACCTGTAATCCTAGCACTTTGAGAGGTGGAGGTGGGTGGATGGCTTGACTCAGGAGTTCAAGACCAGTCTGAGGAAGAGTGAGACCCCCTTCTCTGCTAAAAATATAGGAAAAACTAGCCAGGGTGGTGGAGGGTGCCTGTAGTCCCACCTACTCGGGAGGCTGAGACAAGAGGACTGCTCAAGACTGAGAGTTTAAGGTTGCTCTGAGCTATGACTCCACCACACTCTACCCAGGGAGACAGTTGAGACTGTTTCAAAACAAAAACAAAACAACAAAAAGCATTACTTTATAACTGATAGTAGGTTCATAAAATTGATGTTTGTTTAAATAGAGCTATTAATTTGTTTGTTTGTTTTAACTGCAACCCATGCTTTATTCAGATGTCCTTAGCATATACCCAGTATGTCTTTTCTGATCCAGGACACCGTGTTACATTTAGTTGCCAAGTCTCCGTACATTCCCCCTGGCTGTGACAATTTCTCTGTTCTGCATTGCTTTTGAGGACATTGAAATTTTGATGAGTACTGGCCTGATATTTTATACAATGCCCTTGAATTAGGACTTGCCTGATATCTTTTTGTGACTGGGTATATGTGTGTGTTGGAGAGGGAGCCCATAGAGGGAAAGTACCATTTTCATTACATGATATCACAGATATCAATTCTGAGCACCCAGATGAGGAAGTGCCATGTAAGTTTAACTTTAGGTTTAAGTGTGCCCCGAGCTATAAAAGGTTGAAAACCACTGGCTGGTGGTGGGGAGGAGAGGAGAGAGAAAAATACACTGTGTATGAAATTTAAAAGTCCATAGGAGTAAGTGAAGTATAAAAACCAAAAATTGTCCCGCTTCTGTAATCTTACTTTCCAAAAGTGCTAAGTTTGATGTGTTTTTAGATTTACATCCTTTTATTTACAGAATGAAATATTACTATTGTAAAGTGTTACAAAGTCTCCTAATAGACCCTGCTTTACTCAAGAATGTACATATATCCACAACTGGTTATATGTACCCACAATTTGGTTTGATTCCCTCACATCTTATTTCAGAATTCAACCAAATGGGGGCATATATATTTAAATAAGCAAAAAGAATTGAAAAAATGTCAAAAGTTTTTAACCAAATCAAAAGCTATTTGTTTTAGAACATACTAT